GGTATTTATAATACAGGTTACAAACCCTAATAGAGTTTAATTAGGAAATAAGTGGAATCCTAATTACATAATATCTATACAAAAGGAAAAATAAATAAAACCCAAATAGAATAGGATATATTCTACTCACCAACATAAATTTGGGTGGAAACTTCTTTTGTAGCACTGCACTGCATTCTTCAGATAGCATCACCTTCTCATGCTCAACAAATCGTCTCTTATTGTTTCACTGCATCAAGCAAATGAATATTAATATGAACTTTCTTAAACAAATCAATAATTTCATAAAATTGATTATCCTTCTTATCCTTTTTGAGACGTTAAGGGAATGGAATTGGTAGCACAAAAGCTTTCACTGGCTCAAGAAAAATATTAGATGGAGCTGCATGTGGAGATTCTGAAATTTTGGTGGTCTTGACACTATGACCAGTTTTGGAATTCTGTGCAATTTTGGGAATTTTTGCCTCAGGTGCCGATTCCACTTCTCTCACATTCCTGAGTGTGATGGCTTTGATTTGTTCTTGATTTTTTTGATTCACCTCAGTTTGACTCAAGAGTACACCTTTTTCCCTCGTGTTGAAAGCATTGGTCTTTTGCTCCAGTTGAACTTCCAACTTCTGAATAGAAGCCTGTGATTCTGCAAAGTTGTTTGGGTAGCCTGCATAAAATTGTTAGTTTCTTGGGCAAGCTGAGCAATTAAATCCACTACTGCAAGTTTTTTCTCTGTTGGTTGGGATTGGGCAAGTGGCCGCCTAGGCAGGTTCTAAACATTCTAAGTGTTACTCCATTGGCAATTGGGGTGTTGTCGCCACCCCCATATTGTATGTATTAGAATATGGGTTGTTCCTCTAATAGTTGAAAGCATTTACATGATTGACTTGTTCTTGCATGTATGCTGGGAATGATTCACTCAATGGGCAATTGGCAGTAGAATGTAAATCTGCACAAATTCCTCAAACAGCATTAGTAGATTGCACAAAATTAATTGACATTAAATTATCAAACTTTCTATTTAAGTTTGAAATCTGTGCAGCCATAGCAGTGAAAGCCTCAATTTCATGCACTCCAACATGTTTTGGTTGCCCTGTGTCGGTTCCCCATTGGTGATAGTTGTCAATCATAGAGTTGAATAAAGCAAATGTTGCAGCAACAGTTTTCTCCATCAAAGCTCCTCCACTGGCAGCATCAATCATCATCACCTTGCTTGTCGGATTTAACCCTTGATAGAAAGTTTGCAATTGCATCCATTACCATGACGAAGACATTTGAGTAGTATTGAATCTCTCCTATGATTCATAAAATGCCTCATTATCTAATTGACATAAAGTCATGATTTCATTATGAGCTTCTCTGTCTTAGCAAGAGGAAAGAATTTTTGAAGGAATTTATTCACCAAATCATTCCAAGTAGGGATGGAGGCCAGTTATAAAGAGATTAGCCACGCCTTTGCCTTATCCTTCAGTAAGAATGGAAATAACCTCAATCTTATAGCCTCGTCACTAACCTCATTGATCTTGAATGTGTCACAATTTCTCAAGAAATTGTGGATGTGTATGTTGGGGTCTTCAGTAGATAGGCCGTAGAAAGAGGGTAACATCTGGATGAAGGCCAGCCTCAGCTCAAAATGATTGGTTGTCATGGTGGATTGGACTATGCAGGATGGGACTGTATCTATTGTAGGGACCGAAAAATCCTTGAGTGTCCTGGTGGCATCATCACTAACAAGTGCCATCTCTTAGTTGGTGTTTCTTGCTTCGATTTTGCCTTGAGTAAGTGTCGAAACGTCTCTTCAATCTCAGGATTGTATGGTATAAGCTCAAAATTTCATGAAGGACATCTGTTCATGAACTAGCAAGAGTACCTGAAAAGAAAGAAAGCACAGAATGACGTCCATTTCTTGCTTCACTTTTGCCTTGAGTAGGTGTCGAAACGTCTTTTCAATCTCATGATTGTATGGTAAATTGCACGAATGATGTCTGTTCAGAACATCTTGGAGAATACCCGGATCAAGTTCCAACTAACAAAGAAAGATACCAAAGTTTTACTTGTCTCATACTCAGCCAGACATTGCTTATGCGGTGAGCGTCGTCAGTCAATTTATGCATTCTCCTAGTGAAGACCACATGAATGTAGTTATTCGGATACTTAGATATTTGAAGTCTACACTCGGAAAATGACTTATGTTCTCAAAACATAGTCATCTGAATATTAATGGTTACACATATGCAGATTGGGCAGGAAGTATAACATATAGGAAATCCACATCTGGTTACTTCACATTTGTGGGAGGTAATTTGGTTACATGGAGAAGCAAGAAACAGAAGGTGGTAGCCTTATCCAGTGCAAAATTCGAGTTCAGAGGTATGACCAAAGGAATTTGCGAACTCATTTGGTTAAAGAGGTTGCTTACTGAACTTGGGTATAGATCTACATCTGTAATGAATCTCTTTTGTGACAATAAGGCTGCAACAGCTATTGCACAGAATCTAGTTTGACATGATCGCACCAAACATGTTGAGGTAGATCGACATTATATCAAACAGAAGCTCGAAGCTAAAGTAATTCAGTTTCCTTTTGTAAAGTCCGAGGATCAATTGGTGGATATTTTGACAAAGGCAATTTCCAGTAAAGCATTCCACAATTCACTGGACTAGTTGGGCATTGGCAACATCTATGCACCAACGTAAGGGGGAGTGTGTTAGAAATGTGCCCTAAGAGCCAATACATTTGATGTAATCTCCTTAGAATACATTTCGTATATGATATATAAAGGGCAAACTTATTTGTTATCTTTTACATCGTGTAAAGAAACAAATGTCCAGGGTATGCTAAATAAGAGATAAAGTAATCTAAAGAGGATTAGATTTAGGAGACCTTTAATCTCTAATTATAGCATCCCAAATGTTCCTAATCATAGGTTATCAAATGGGCATTGATAAACCGTCAAGATTAGCACATATTATGTATGCTCAATTGGGAGGATGGTTAGTCTCAAACCATTTGTGTAGTTGACACTAATACAAGTATGTGGGTGCTCATTAGTGAATGAGTACACTGAACGCGATCAACCGTAGTTCTCATATGGAGTATTTATCTATATGTCAAATGAGAACTCATAGTTGCAATAATGCAAATTAGTCCTTAGACCTGAGGCATCATGGTTGTCCTGTGATGCGTTATTGATCTTTGATAGCTCTTAAAGGCAAGCCGTAATAGATTTGTCTTAAGTGTTGTTGGGATCTCTTAATTCATCATAGGGGCATGTGAATGTACAATAAGGAATCTCTACTTTCGATAAAGAAGGAGAATGTTTCAAGATGTGATTCAGTAAATCTTTGGCCAAAGTATTTTGAACTTGATTTAGAAAGTTGTTCTTAATCACGTTCTTTTGAATCACATGAGGTTATAAATCATATTAAGGGTTTGACATAAACAATCCGTACCCTAATAATATGATTTGAAACATTGTATAAGAGAAGGACCATATTGCATTGCAATTCCAACTGAATAGGTTCTTCATCTATTCTAGTTAGCTTGGGTAGCCTTGATATATTGCTAGATGTCACTCTTGGCTTGGGGAAGCCCTAGGATTGATTGTGATCGATCCAAATAAAGGAAGAATTAAAAAGAGGGTTTTAATTCCAGTTGGTTAGAAAGAGTTCTAATATTTTCCCACTACCTTGCTAATTAGAACCTAATGGATCGCACACCTTAAATGGTTAACTGTGAGTAATACAAATGAGAATGAGGAAATCAATTTGATTGATTTGATGTGGATGATTTACTACATGTAAAAACGTATTTGGGCTAAGTAATAGTTAACGGAAAGCCCAAATGGTTGGGTATCAAGCCCAAGGGCTTAAGACAACTAAATATTATGATTTAAGTGTCATAAGGCCCAATTTTGGAAGCCTTAAGTGAATGTGTATGGGAATTGTTTCTATAAGCTCATTAACACACAAACACAATCCAAGATCAACCAAATAGGTTTGGGAGATCAAAGAGAGAAAAAGGAGAGTTTTCAAGAGTGAAATACTTTCATTTTTCAAAGTGGTTTAGATTGAAACCAATCTTGAGAATCTTGCACTAGCATCCAAGTATTCTCAAGATACTTATTCTCATCTCAAGGTTCCATTGGTGTGGAGACTTAGAGGCCATATACTTTTGTGGCTCACATGGAGGAGAAAGATCAAGGAGCAAAGATCAAAGATCAAAGAGGAGATCAACAAAGAGGAAATCATCAAGAGAAGACCAAACACAAATTGGTTCATATAATTGCTTCAAGGGTAATTAGATCTTATCCTTTCTCTTGAATTTTCATTTATGAAAAACATATCAATGTTCATGGCTTAAGATACTTGGAAGAAGTTTTGTTTTTGAATTTAAACAACCACCTTAGACTTCCGCTGCGATTAATTTGATTAAATGCATGTTTAATATTCAAATGAACTTTGGAAAAATGTTTTGAAATTCCTACAGAGTGTTGGCGTGACTTGTGGACCATTGACTTTCTTACCTCACACACCAAGAATTCCCATTATAATTATATTTGATTTACTTTAATTCATAATTTCCTACTGTAAATAGAAATAATAATTTATTATTTACTTGCCCTTTAAAGTTCCGTTGTATTATAAATATGACCTCCTATAAGGAGAAGAATACCCAGAAAATTCCCACAAACAAATATTCTCATATTAGGTTTCATATTTTAGCACATATGAGAGACTCATCAATTGGAAGTCTTATGATCCACTACTGACTAGTATTTGTGTTATACAAACTTTGTTCATCCAATACTACAGAGAAATTGTTATCAGGGATAATTCAAGATTCCATCGGTTTGTAGATGGAAATTGCTCTTGTAAAGATTATTGGTGAATTCATATCATAATTTGCAACCTATGCTCAATAGTTTTTCATCTTCATCCAAACTCTAAAAAAAAAATTTACAAAATCAATCAAAATGTTAAAGATGAAGGAAAAGACAAGAAGTTGTATATGTAATAGTACTTTATATTCAGTCAAAAACTGGTTCCAGATTACATAGCAACTCTGGTCACAACAGAGACTTGAAGTAGGGAGCCAAACGAGGGAATTTACAAAACGATCATCCATGGCTGCCAAGCGATGCACACCAACAGCTCTTTGTAAAAAAAAGAAAGGGTATTTGGGCATTTAAAAAAATTAAATATGGGTATTTTTGGCATTTTAAAAGTTTCATTGAAAGGAGCCAAGTGCTTCCCATGTTTTGTCCTACAGCGCTTTTAAGAAGAAGCACATCTCAAGTGCTTCTTCCAAAACCACTCCAAGTGCTTTTGGATCTCACCTAAAGCACTTTTGCAATTTTTGCCAAAGACCATTTTTAAAAGACAGAAGCGCTTTCACTCATTTAGAAGCGCTTTTCGCTGCTCCAAAAGCACTCCCTAACGAGCCATAAGAAACGGAAAGGTAAAATTCATTTTAAGTAATTCCACGTGCAAGGAACTTGAGCTAGTCTATCCACGGCACTTTTCCATTCAGGTATTCTCCTACCAAACAAGAACGATCCCAAAGCTTCAAGTGCTAACGGGATGCCCTTAGCATGATCTAAAACAAGGTTGCATAGTCCTGCATAATCCTCTGGGGGACAGCCTTGCTTAAAGGCTTTCCAGCAAAAGAGCTCAAGAGCGTCATCATGATTCAACTCCACTGCTCTGTATATTCTGTCCACTCCATATCTGATCAGCAAGTTTTCGTCCCTGGTTGTTATTATGATTCTACTTCCTGCACCAAACCAATCACGGTTTCCAGCTAAGTTTTCTAGTTGTTCTAATTGATCCACGCCATCGAGAACAAGAAGAATCTTTTTACGGCATAGGCTGTTTCTGATTGTATTGACACCTTTATGAACATTCCTTATCTTCATACTCCTTTCCATGAGGATTTCTGAAATAAGTTGTTCCTGTAATGGAACTAGGCCCTGTTTTTCAGAAACTTCTTTTATGTTGGCAAGAAAGCTGCGATCATCAAATTGGACAGACAGACTGTCAAAAACAACTTGAGCAATAGTTGTCTTGCCTATTCCTTTCTCCCCACAGATTCCTGTAATGCGAACATCATCCACCCCCGTATCTAAGTACAGATTCATTTCCTTGACGAGGGAATCTATTCCAACTAAATCCTTGGGCGCACTTGAAACCTCTTGGCTCAATTGATTGAATATCCTTTCAGCAATCTCTTGGATAACTATTGACTGGTACCTGAAAAAAGGAGAACAAGGAGTTTGTGTGAGGAGAAAAAAATGAGCCATAACTTGTCAAAGAAACATTATGCAATATGTAGTATTCTTTAGTTCTGTTCACTGAGACTGAAAATTTGAAGGGAAGAAGGGAGCTGCAATTTCAAATATAATGTATGCCCTTTGATTTGTAGAGAGCTGATTGGTAATTTTTCAAGGAAAGTATACAAAGCAAAGCTGGATTCAAATTGCACTTGGGAGGCAATAATGGCCTCAGTTTCTACCCAAGAGCTTCTGGTCTTGTCAATTCATATGGTTTTAATAACAAGAGACAAAACAAGAATGGGCATATTGATGATGTCAAAAAGATGGAAGTCTCATTGCTTCATTCATCATAACCATAGCAACAGTTGGGAATTGTTCTATTCTAATCCAAATTTTTAAACTGAAAACAGAATTTGAGTCCAAAGCGCAAAAACTCTGTTTGAATAAATTTCTCAAAATCCATCTGAAAACTATCTGAAACCATCCCATTGATTGATTCAACGTAGCCATGGTATCCGTTGGGAATAGTGTGTTCATAACAGCCTTCTGAAAACCATGTATACCGCTTTCACCAGAGCTTCACAAGATACTGTCTGTTTTTAATAACAATTTTGCCTGTTTTCTCTCTTAAGATATGATATTTTGGCTCTTGTAATTACATGACATCACATGAACACAACTAACTTCAAACCACCAAATGCTGTTTCAGATATTCAGTCTAATAACACAGGAAGAAGTTATGTCTGCATAGGAAAATTTGATCCGATCATTGAAGGACTCATATCGACAATTCAAAAGAAATCCCTGTTCCAGATGTATAAAGTTTGATAAGTTGATGTACTTTTTTCTTTTTCAACCTATTTATGTATAAAGTTTGTTAATTAATTAAAAAAGATATTAAAAGACAAATAAAATAATAATTAAATTAATAGTTGCAACTGACAACTTACTTGTTCTTCAAATCCCATCCAGAGAGATTAGCTGCCTCTTTCATTGCAGCCCTCCAGCTCTCCACCTTGTCCTTGAAATATTGCTCATGTTCACAAAAAGCTTTCTCAAAACAACCCTTCTGTTTGCGCACATCAGATGGATCCACGTCATAGAAAACTGGGTAAACGATCTGACCCTTTGACATGCACTCAAGGATCTGCACAAGCTCATCCAAGCACCGATTTGAACAAGCATAGCTTCTTGAGAAGACAACGATCGAAAACCTCGATTCTCTGATCGATTTCTGAATTTCTGTGGAAATGGGTTTTCCTCTCTCAAGTGCTTGGTCGTATCTGAAGGTGACAATTCCCTTGTGATCCAGAGCAGTGCATAGATGATCAGTGAAGTTTTTGCCAGTGTCTTCAGTTCTGAAACTAACGAACACATCGAACATCCATCCAGTTTGAGTTTCTCGCATGTCTTTGAATGAAGGCTACTTAATTGCTTGAGGAAGATGATGAACGAGAATTGGGCTTATATATATATTGACTCTTTGTTTGCGTCGGTTGAAAACTACAAGGAATTCTCGAGGAAAAAGAACAAAGTGTAACCCCGCGTAAGGCCCGTTTTCAATAACTTTCTGCCAAAGTTAGGAAGGGAAGGGGCAGAGGGTTTTCGCACACAATGCCAAGTGTCAGGGGAAGACTTCTAAGTCAATGTTTATGACAAAAAAATAAATAAATAAAATCAATGTTATTTTTCATTAAGTTAGATCCCGTTGGCTTTTTAAATGGTTCTAAATCCATGTCTTCCATGATAAAAGGGTAAAAAATAAATAAACGGAAGATGGGTATGAAGTAGGGGAACATGAAATCCTTTTGAGAAGATATACAGAAACATGAAATCCTTTCCAAATTCACATTCAGTACACGACTAGAGTCAGAACTCAGAACTTACAGCACTTTCTATGGTGTCTTGCCTCCAGCTAGCTGGAAGCAGAAATTTACTTTGGACGCCTAAACAAGCAGTATGACAAAAGCTGCGCCTATGACATGGTTAACTAGTTTTACCAAAATTCCCAGAATGCTGACTGGTGCATAAAATTAACTAAGTCATTCCTACCCGTTCTATACAGCCACTACATGTTACTTCAAGGAGGCAGTCCAAATTAGTGTCATCTACCTTAGAAGTTACACAAAATACAACCTAAGCCAACTGCAGATGGCACTACCACTTGAGAAAACCTACTCGATCCGTGCTACCCACAACATTCTCATCGGTAGAATCTGATGCACTTCCCACGGTTTCGTCTGAACTCTCGCTTGGAAGGAGTTGTATACGGTCAGCATGCTCGATGATCCAATCAGTGACTTCAGGAGATGACGCCCATTCTGCTATAGCTTGGCGGGTTGATTCCTGTGTGAAATCATCCCACTCTTTCTTTGTGAACTTCTTTCGGCTTTGCATCTTGTGGAAGGTTGAATAGTACTCATGTTGATCACGTGCCCTAAAGGATGGTGACATGACACCTGCAAGAAACAGACACAAATAGCATAACTGAATGTGTCAAAGAGCCGTCCCAGAACCATGCCCAACATGTAATACTTAGATAAAAGTGATCAATGAAACAACAACAAAAAAAGTAAAGGAACTGAATCGAAGAGGGGATCTTACTTTCCTTCACACCAAAGGCAAAAGTACAAAGAAAGTAATGCGAGGGGCATAAAAACCAAAACAGAAGTGAGGAAAATCTTGAAGAATATTTCTCACTTTAAAAATCATTGGGGGGGGAGGGAGAGAGAGAGTTTCCGCAATGAAAAAATAACATATTGGTCATGATACACTTCAGCGTGTATAAAAACATACATTTTTAGGGATTCCTTTTGCATGATAGTTAAAGCTGAAAAGGAAATGGATATTCTGCATTTTAAGACTTGGTTTTTTTTTTCCTCTAAATAACCAGAACATAACCCAAACTCTTTGTTAAAGTATATAAGAAAGCAATCCATGTACTAATGAGCAGCTGGAACAAAGAATCAATCAAAACATGCAGAAACATAACAGATAAAATAAAACAAAAAATACCTTTGACTGGAGAGTCAGACCAAGCAGATAGAGTCCTTGGACTCTTCCAGTTCTTTTGTGGGCTAGACCTGCTAAGAAATTCTGGACGACCGTGTCTGCCCTTGACCTGTCTACCCTGCTGCAGCCAAGGACTCCCGCTCCCAGCACCCAACTGATGCCTGCATATAATCATAGTAATATATTTTAATGTGAAAAACGGTACAACAAAAATGACCAGCTGCAAATAGTTCTGGGATACAAAATGTTATGTCATCAAATGCTAAGAACATAATGACCATATTCTCATGAATATTCAAAAATTCTCCTTATCAATGGTCACGACTGCACCCATTCATCTAACTGCACTTTCTTAGACCTCTAATTTTTACCTTTGAAATACAAAATCAAGTCAGAATCGCTAAACTTGTTTCAAGAAAAATATACTGTTATTGACAATTGCAATTAATTGAATGATGAGACAGTACAGTAATGAAATAAAACCATCCCTACTAAGATTTCTTCAATACTACGATGCATTCACTTCTTGAATAACAAGAAAGTATGTAGAGAGAATGTAAATCTTGCCGTTTCAGAGAAGTGATGAGCTTGCAGATAATCCAGCAAGAAACCAAAGCCCCCACTGCTAAAGGAGTATCGAGAGTGCTCTGAGAAATAATGCAAAAAGGAAAAAGCACACATATTAAGAAGAAATGAGAACAGCAAAGAGCAATAACATGAAATGTTGGCAATTACTACAATTTATAAAACTAAATTTAACAGCAGACTACTCCAGAATCAACCAATTCAATCATAAGTGCCAGTGGGTCAACACGATAAATGTAAATAAAAAAAGTTTGAAGTGACATTGTCCTAATAGTACCAGGCAATGAAGAGGTAAATGGTGTTTCTCTGGTTGAAAATTGATCCTCAAAGGGACAACAAGTAATAGTACAGGAAACACAAATCTATGTTTACTAAACTTGGCTATACAAAGTGAGATGTTGTATCTGTCTATTGAGTATTCAGTGTACATTCATTTACTAACTAAATCTTAGGACATAAAGACATGGCCTTATAATCCAATAATTCTAATTAGGCTCCATTTTCACATTTCGGATAATAAAAATTGCTGACTTTGTTTGCACTGAACGTTCATTCAAAAATAATTTTAGCTAGGTCAGATTCATTTGTTACACATGCAGTGATTTGGATGTTTGATTAGAAGATTGTTCGCCATGCTGTGTCTTCAAATGGTACTTCTCTTCTAAGGTTCCAAGTAACAATACGGTTACAAATTGCTATCCCACATTAGGTTTAATTAAGCGGGAAATGTTTTTACTTGAATATCGAATATACAGCCAAAAGGAAAGTGAGAAAACACCTGCAAGATGGAGGTGGTTCCAATTATGCGCATCGCCCACTTAACAAATTGGGCTATACCAACATCTACTGTTCCATCTTTTGAGACGACAAACCTCCTCACAATCCAGTACCCTAAAGCAGCTCCCACGAGGATAATTCCCACTAGTAAAAATACAGAGACCTGCCAGCAAAACATGACTGGGTAATTAGGCAAGACAATAATATCATGATGTAAACCAAGGAAAAATATCAGAAGCAGATAATTAGTCTAAACTTTGTCTTCCCACCATTTATCTTCGCACAAGTAAATGTAAAGGCCTTATATTATAAGGATTACAAAATTAGTTTGATTATCTCTCTTGCTAGTTGTTAATTTGCATACATGCGTGCACAAGACAACCTTACAGTGTTTACCAATGCAGGGTTTCTTTCCACTAATACTAAACACCACATCAAACAAAACAAAAAACAATAGAAGTTCAGGTAAACTAATGAAGCACGACATATTGGATCCAAAATTGCAATTATACTCTACAGATGACATACTAATGTTAAGTGGTTTTTGCATAATTGTGATCCCAGCAACTATAGGAAACCAGTTGCACAGGAAACCAGCCCTTTGAAAATAATTTTATCAAATAGCTTTTTACTTTTTTGTAAAAAATATTAGACAATGTTATAATAAAGAAAAATCCGTAACGACGGTATGCCCTTTATCCTCACTGCTGTCACTTATCAGTGCCACTATTTAAATCTGGATGAACCTACAAATAGCTAAAATACATTTCAGAAATATTCAAATTAGAGGTTTTTGTTTTTGTTTTTTTACAGGAACTCAAAAGTGAGCTCATTCATTCATATTACAAATAAGATTTGAATTCCTTCTTGGTGAAGGCATAAGACTGAATTTAGTTCTAACTTACATCACATAAGTAAATGAGAACAACAAACACTACTCATAAGTTTAGGGCTCTATATGCACCATCCAACTTAACCAAATTTTTATTCTGATGTGTTTTTAGTTACCAATGTATTTTCCTTCATCATCTCTCATCAACCACTCTCATTTGTTTATGTATCTCTCCGCCCTCTCTTTAAATAAGAAGAAATAGAGACAAAAATGTTATGAAACGGGAAATAAGGTAGTCCACATAGTAAAATCCTATTAAAAAATAATTAATATGAAAATAGGCATATCATGAAATGTTTATGCAGAACCTTTTTTTCTTCTGAGTGTCTGAATTCAGCATGTTATAATTACGAGATTAATATAAGCAATTTGGTCCACATGGAGTGCCTTCAAAATTAAGGATTACAAGGTTGCATTTTTTCCTTTTATCAATAATCAAGGATTTCAGTATACACTTGAGGGGGCGGGTGTGTGTGTGGGAGAGAGAGAGAGTATGAATGTATGAAAAAGGCACAAAAGACTGTTTCCTTGATATCTCTTAATTTCAATGCCAAACTGCAGATATATTGTCATGCTCATCAGAATTTATCCCAATAATGCGAAATAAATCCGCTGGTCCATATTTTCATGTCATTTTGAAAATATGGATGATATACCTAATATTAGAATTGGAATTACAAGCATCCAAAATATAAACAGTTCAATACAATTAGGATAAGATTAAGGGAACAAATACTTACCGGGTTGTGCATCTCTTCACTTAGCCCAAAATTTAGAAGAATTGAATTTACCAGCATAGAAAATTGATGAAAAAGAAAAGATCCTGCTCCAAGCTGTGAAAGGCGTATAAATTCTGAGATTTACTTGCACTATATATTATACGAAGTTAATGAGTTACTCTGAAGCAAGCGAAGATTCGAGATACCAAGCCTTACCAGTGATCCATAGATAGTAAGATAGAAGACATTTTTTCTTCCAGTTGGCAACAACTTCATTCCCTTGATTAAAGAAAAAGGGTTATGAAAAACATTGCCTACAAATTTGCGATCTAAAAACTGCAGATGAAAGCCAAAAACATCACCTAATTCCTACAAATTCATTATTGTGTGCACTAACAGATACATGTGTAACAGAAAGCCAAAAGAAAACTACTCTTGATTTTATGTTGCACACCTAGTTTAAGAGGAAACCATAACCTCTAAGGGCAGAAGTTGAGCAAAGTGAAATGCACAGATGTCCCCTTTTAAGTATTTACTCGAGCAAAGTGCATAGAAAATAAGGTATTTAAGAAATAGGTAAAAAGTCATCGTTGTCCCTGTAGTTTGCCGGTTGTACCACTTTAGTCCCCATAGTTTCAATT